TTTTCACAGAGTTGTGAATTCTTCAAGACTGCTGATCAGATCTCTCTCGTAGAGATGCAGTAATTTACAAGTGTCTGTTCCATCGTGTGCAGTTGTGATTTGAGGCGAACCACCCACTGTTTATTTTAAAAAGTCCATAGCACAGGGTGACCCAGGATTGAGAGAGAAGTTGAAGACTAAATTATTAGCCCTCTTGTGAAATCTTTTTTTTTCTTTTTCAAATAATTCCCAAGTGATGTTTAACAGACCAAGTTAATATTGTTCTAATATTTTTTTTCTGGATAAAGTCTTACTTCTTGTAGTTTGGATGGAAGAAACTTTTTGAAAAATTTGTATTATAACCTTTACAAATTTCTTTTCTGATTGGCTACAGAGTTTTAACTAACTAACCTAGTTGCCTAATTAATTCAATTCAATTCAGCTTTATTTGTATAGCGCTTTTACAATGTAGATTGTGTCAAAGCAGCTTCACATAAATGGTCATAGTAACTGGAACAGTGTAGTTCAGTTTTTTAGTGTTTAAGTTCAGTTCAGTTCAGTTTAGCTCAGTTCAGTGTGATTTAATCATTACTGAGAGTTCAAACACTGAAGAGCAAATTCATCGATGCGTAGCTCTACCAATCCTGAACTATGCGAGGCAGTGGCAACAGCGGAGAGGGAAAAAAAAACTTCACCTGATGGGAGTGAAGAAAAAAAACCTTGAGAGAACCAGACTCAGTTGGGCACGACCATTTTAATTTCTCCGCTGGCCAAAAGTCTTGCAGAGCAGAGCTTCAGTCGCCGTAGTGGAGGCTGGAAGATGGCCTCAGCGAAGACTCGTCTGTCCCTGGAGCGTCGCTGGAAACACTGTAAAACCCAACAGTAACTTTATCAAATGAAATCAAAATTTACAGAAAGTTAATTCTACTTATTTGAAAAGAGTTTTGAACTCAGTGTTGAAGGTAATAAATTAATTGAATATCTCATTATTTAAGCTTAAATGGAGTAAGTTCACAGTACTCATATAGATTCGTTTTTAAACTTAAATGATTTGTTGCAATCGGTTTCCTAAAACAGTTCGAGTTGCGTTAACTTATTGGGTTTTACAGTACTCAGTTGGTTTGAGTTCTCTTCATTTATTGGGTTTAACTGTGCTCAAATTGCTTCGTTTACTTAAATGGATTAACTTCACAGTACACATTAGGATTAGTTTTTGACCTTAAATGGTTTGTTGCAATCGGTTTATTTCCTCAAAGGGTTTGAGGTACCTTAACGTTTTGGGTTTTACAATGTAGGCTTTTAAATTACACTTTAAGCAGAATACTTGTATATTCAGGGTGCGAACTACAGGAGAGCTACAGAAATTTGACAGTGTGTTATTTTGACGTGCAGTTTCAGTATTGTGTAATGTGATCATTGATTATTGTGTAAAAGTGCAAAAATATCATTCATTCATGCATGACAGTGATTTACACCTCACTTAAAAAAGATAACTACACATGCTATTCTTGTCATGAGCATCAAGGTGTGGGAACGCTTAGGAGCAAAGTCCAGTCATGTCATGGACTGACAGGCAGATGCTTTCATATTGACGTTGAGACACTGCTTATTCATTTTCCGAAACAAATGATCAAATGATGTGGCATTGCGTTTCGTTTTATTTGCTTCATACAGTAGGCCAAAACAATTTTCTTTTTTTTAAACACCATGACATTGCTGTAAACTTGTTGGACAATTAAGCTGAAAGCAGGATAAACTTGACAAAATGGAGCCCCTTTTTAATGGTGTTTCTTTTATTTTTAAATGTTCAATTATGTGTTACCAGAGTGAAAAGTGAGACCCCATGACATTCTATAGTCGTATGCAAAATAAAAAAGCATATGCTGTCCTTAGTGCCATCATCTTGAACTTGTAGAAAAATGATATATGACAATGCAATATGACAAGGTTATTTATTTATTTTTGTTGTTAAGTGAAGCATATTTGTGTTTGTTGATTTTATATGAAAGTATTCGTCTTATAGAAGCACTGCAGGTAAACACTAGACAAGATGTTCTGTTGTTTAGGCTGCCTTTGTTTGTCCATGTAATAATAAATCCCTCAAAAGATTTTTTCAAGCATCAAAAAAAGTTATTTATGGGAAAACAAGAGCTTTTTAGCAAGAAAGTAAACGAAAACTATTGTGGTGTTTTGTTAAATTAGCCTACTTTGTAATATTAGGTACAATTATATAGAAATATTTGTTTCATATTTATAGATTCGCGGTTTCTGCCGAGTGTGCCGGCTGGGATGAGAATCAGCACCTCCAAGTCTGGGGCCATGGTGCTCCGTTGTTGTAAAGAAGGAGCTTAGCCGAAAGACAAAGCTTTCGATTTACCAGTTGTTCCTACTTTCACCTATGGTCATGAGCGAAAGGACAAGATCTCTGATACAAGCAGCCGAAATGAGTTTCCATTGCAGCGTGGCAGGGTGCACCCTTATAGGTGAGGAGCTCTGTCACCCGGGAGAAGCTCAGAGTAGAGCTGCTGCTCCTCCACATTGAGAAAAGTCAGCTGAGGTGGCTCGGACATCTGTTTTGGATGCCTCCTGGATGCCTACCTAGGGAGGTGTTTCTTTAAAAAAAATATTGTATATTTAAATAAAAAATATTATTTGCTAAGACAAAAACAAAAAAAAGTCATTGGAGGTATAGATTCCTGGCTCATACGGGATATGACGTTTTATCTCAACCAATTCATGGACTGATGTTCTGAAAAGCAGGTCATCTGGCAAACACCTGAGCATCAGACCATAGGGCGGCCCTTGACACCAAAATCACACCCCATGCTGAGTTAATTACTAAATGCTTAAAGGCAACCAGTGAAGGAAAGCTGTGGTTTTGACACCAGATATCACTGATTGTTTTGCCGGATTCAGGGCCTCACCCACAGCAGACCACCAGCATTACAGAACCATAGCACAGAGACTGGCACCGTCACAGAGATGGCCTTGCGTCAGGCTTTCTCTGAAGTTTTAAACCATCGCCAAAACAACAGCCACAAGTGTCATGTTTTCCAGCTGTTTTCTGCAGTTCTGTTGACAGTGCCTGACTCATAACGTTTAAGGCTGGGGAGGAGAGCCGATTTTGCATGCAGTGTGTCAGTTGGCCAGTTGGCTCTGGGTTTATGAGAGCAGATGCTAATGAATGATATCACCTCTTTTTGCTCATATGGGACCTGGATTTCCAAATCCTCCCCCCAGTAAAGAGGCTTTAGGCTTCACTACCCCCTTAACAGAGTGAAATAAACACTTCAGCGGCCAGTTGTTATTTAAGATTGCAAGTTGGTTGAGTGCACAAATTCACTTCCAAAATTCGTGTCACAGAAATCTGCTAAACAATAATACATTAATACTGGCCACTTCTTTGGAGAGCTGATTCCAAAAGGAAGCATATGAGAGCGTGTAACAATGTACTCTCCATGACCAGAAAGCTTATTATGACCACAACAGAATTATCTGTTGAGGTTTGACTTCACTTACATAATTAAAATCATTAGAATTCCCTTATATGCGAGACTTCTCAAATAGTCTAGTGGTTTGGAGGCTGAACTCTCCAGCTGAAGTCTGCCATACCACACATAGCATCTCGTTCAGCTAAGGAAGATGTAAAAAAGGGTTTTATTTCATGTCAGAAGCTCTCAAAAAGTATCAAGATTTTGTTTAGATGCTTTTTCTGCTTCTGTAGGGTTAAAACTAAGGGGGTAGTTCACCCAAAAATATACATTTACTCACTATTTAACCCCTTCAAGTGGTTACTTCCAAAACTTATGAACACAAAAGATGATAATCTGAGGACAGTTGGAAAAACCAATTCGATGGAAGTCAATGGTTACAGATTTCCAGCTTTCTTCAAAATATCTTCAATTGTGTTCGACAGAAGGAAGAACATCAAACAGGTTCAAGTGAAGCAAGGCAAGGCAAGTTAATTTATATAGCACATTTCATGCACAATAGTGATTCAAAGTGCTTTACATAAACAAGTGACCGAATTATAAGTTTTGGTTAAACTATCTTTTTAAGCATTTAAGTGTGTTTGATTTGGACAAACTTTGACTTAAATGATATTTCTGAAGCTTTGTCTTTTTCTGCTTTAGTGGCCTAGATATTAGTTTCAACATTGACTCACTTGTTAAAACTACTCCCAATAATAATAAAGTCCTTCTGGGAATATTTTCTCCTGCATAAAAATTGAAAAACAGCCCCTCCTATGGATTTTTCTCTATATTTCTCTTGAGTATTATAATTGCTACAGGGTGCCTTGTGTTATTGTTTAAGAAATTCAACATGTGAGGCAGTGGAAATGTGGAATGGAGTATGAAATGTAGTAAAAGTGAACATGCAGGTTCTACACTGTGTTTTAAACAAAGACTTCGCCATTGTGATGATTTGTTTTTGTCTTGTTCCGTTTATTTATGTTTTCAGTCCCTAAGAAAGAACTTCTGCTACAATTTAAACCAGAAAGAAGATGTATGTATTAGTGGCACTTGTTGATTTTCACCATGAAAGGATTAATTTAATCAGAACCAGGATATATAATCAGAATATAGTCAGTTAAAAAGTCAGACTTAGCATCAGTTTAGTTAACCTAACCTTTGTAACGTTCACTTTCTTGAATTTTCTTAAGAATTAGTCCATCATTGTAAATGTCAACTAATCAGAATTGTCAAGCTTTTAATCAAAATGTCAAAGTTGCTTATTTCTATAGGCTACAACAATGTGTGATGATCAGCAAATGTAACCATTCCAAATGTTTTAATGGATAAATAAAAGAATTGTATTCGCTTGTTCTCTAATAATACTAAAGATCATGCACAGTGCTTTACTTATTTGCTTAAAATTTGGTCAATCACAAATTTATACAAATTTTCCCCAATCCACAGCGTCAAATCGGTCCTGAGCTCCACTAAAGTCAAAAGTCTTTCAAGTGATTTTCTGGGTTGAACTCTTAATAATCAGACTTTTTCTCTGACATGTCCTTACAGGCAAGGCCTAAAGGCGAAGGACTGACTCCATACCAAGGCAAGAAAAGGTGCTTTGGTGAATACAAGTGCCCAAAGTGCAAAAGGAAGTGGATGAGTGGAAACTCTTGGGCCAACATGGGACAGGAATGCATCAAATGCCATATCAATGTTTATCCTCATAAACAGGTACGGTATCCATCTTCTAACAGTTCATAAATGTGACACTGTATTACTTAACTAGGACACATGCAGGTTTATCTGATCTGTCAGTTAGCTGTGTGAGCACATACGGTGTGAAGTTCTTATGGATGGGGCCCAGCAGGTATACTTGAAACCTGAGACACAAACCCAAGACATCTGTCTAACCCAAATACCTCTTGAACTAAAGGAGGGGTCCTTTTTCGGGAAGTAACAAACTTATCTAGACTATTGAAAATAACAGTTCCAAAAGGGGGCTTTAACTGTGATGCCTTGGAAGAATAATTTTGAGTTCCCCATATATATGTCCATATAATCAGCGAAGAACCATTGAAAGAGTGTTTTCTGACTTTAATCTGAAGTTACTTTATACTTATAAAAATAAACATTCTCAATTGGCTCAATTGGATTGTATGAAACAATTTTCCATGCATGAAAACAATTTTCATTACACTGCAGGTTCTTTAGTGATTTATTTTTTACATTATAAAAGTTTTTTTTTTACTTTAAAAAAAATGGTTGTTAAAAAAATTTTCATTAAAATGGTCTTATGGGCAACCAAAATATTTTGCCATTGCTGTAAACCCCCTACCTCAAAAGAATATGATTTTTTTTAAGAGTGTAAACCAGGGGGGGCCAACCCTGTTCCTGGAGAGCCACCTTCCTGCAGATTTCAGTTGCAACCCATGTCAAACACACCTGAACCAATTAATTAGGACCTAAACACCACGTGATAATTACAGGCAGGTGTGTTTGATATGGGTTGCAACTGAAATCTGCAGGAAGGGGGCTCTCCAGGAACAGGGTTGGCCACCCCTGGTGTAAACCAATAATGGAAAAAGTGCAAAAAAGTATATATTTCAAATGCATGAATGCCAATAAAGAAACCAATTTTAAAAATAGACAACTGTATAATTGGCAAATTATAATAGCTGTATTTAGGTTGATGTTAATGTTTTAGACTGAAAGAACATTGATGAAGTTGGGTATTTGCACATGAACCACATTTTAAGGTGATTTTCTGAAACATACTAAATATGCTGAAAGACTAGATTCTTAAAGAGGCCTTATTGTGCATTATAAAAGGTCATATTTTGGTTTTGGGGGGTCTCCAACAACATGCTGATATGCATGCATAAAAAAAACACTTTCATTGTCTTATAATATGCATTTATTCTTATTAATTATCCTAACGACTCCCATATGATTTTTTCAGTTATTCATTTGTTTCCACACCTCTCCTTTGCTTGAGGCTAATCTGTGCTGATTGGTCCGATGACCCAGTCTGTTGTGATTGGTCAACTGCGTTTGGCGCAAGACAGAGAGAAACGCCCAGCAGGAATGCATTAAAGCAATGCAGTTAAACACCAGAATATTACTCTATTCTTAACCACAACCCCAAGTAATAACAGCGATACACATTCTGAGTTAATCCACACAGTGGCAAAAGTTGAACTATTTTGAAAATTGACCATGCAGCGTGTGTGAGGAACAGCTGATGGTGGTTGTAGTAACAAACAGCAGGAGATCGCAAGCACAAAGCACATTTAAATTGGTAAAGGAAGAAGCTCTCATCGCGTTTTCAATAGCCCCATACAAATTTAACCCAAGAGATACAGTAAAAGCAGTGATCTATAACAGATACTTGATTACAACTTACAACACACAATTAAAAACATATTTTGCAAACTACAGAAAATGAGACAACCATTTTAATCACACTTCACTTTTTGTAGGAAGGAGGAACAATTACAGGATCTGGAGGAAGAAGAAACTGGTCCATACAAACAGTTACTGACAAAGTCCCATACATTAGTAGTCTTTGCTGATCCTTCTTTACTAACAAACGGCCAACGAATCCCATGTTGCAGGGTAGTTATTGTATAAATCATCAGAAAAATGACAGAAACAAACACTGCACACGGTTGGTTATACTGTGGTGTTAAAAATTAACTTTACCCTTTATTTCCCACAGCCGCATGTCTGGCCATTTCTCAGGGATAGTAATCTTTGTGTCATGATCAATCCCATCATCCCTCGCACTCAGCTAGTGTATAAAGAGAAAGGCACGTTCACGTTTCACCAGATCAAGCAGTTCATATTTGGTATTGTTTAGGTTCGATGTTGATATTAACAGGCAAAAGATCTTGACGAATGATAAATCATTTAAATGACTCTAAGTCAAATCTTTTATTTAAAAAAAATATATTTTTAAACAAGTTTTACTTTCAGATTTAACCCTCAGCTGGATGTTTTCATTCACTTAGAGCTGTGTTGCACACTGCATGGAAGGTCATTTACAAAAACCCATAATAGGGGCTCTTTAAATTACATCTGCAGTCTCACTGGTTAAACTTGCTTTTAAGAATCACCTACATCATTCTAGGAAAGTAAGCATGCAAATAGATCTTTTTAGCAGCTCTCGAGAGGAAAGCATTCATTGCAATTACCTTCCCTACAAGTACTTTTGCATCCAAATGCATTAGCAGCGGTTGTGCTGAAGGAACCATCTGTTGAGAAGGCCAGCTCTTCCACTGGACAGAGTATTATAGCTAATTCCCTTCTGACAAGCAAATTCTTTAGCTTTTCAGTCTCACCCACTTAACATGTTTCCTGCAGTAAGCGTGTGAGATGTGCAGCTCACTGCAATATATATCAAAAAAGCCTTTAAGGGTTTGCAGCTGGCTGACTTTCCCTGTAACCCAAGCAAACATACCAAAAGTTCTGCTTTTATTGTTCTCTCACAATGGAAATCATTCTTCCAATGTCTGCAGTATGGAAATCGTTCAATTCTCCAGATCATATGCAGTAAAGGATTTTATATCCCCAGCCGCTCCCGATGGACGATTAACTGAAAGTATCTGAATAGTGCCAATGCCACACTGCTGTATAAAATAGCCAGACCTGTGCCAGAATCTGCTGGAGAAGCAGGCGTCCAGAGATCCCTGCTTTTATCATTCTCATATTTAACGACATGCGCAGGGAACACGGCTGACATCTTTACAGTATGAGAGCAGACATGGAGCAGAGGCATTACATAAAGTCCTCCCAAGTTTCCTGCATTTTTTTTTTTGTTTTGGCAGGAATTCATCCTGTTTATTAGAAGCATCAGCAATCCACCACTGCCAAATTATTAATTCAAAGAGGTACCAGATATTTCCTCTTATTATCATTCACAAAAGCCTTTGGCTCCCAAGCAAACACTCCCTTGGGTTGCAGCACTGTCTCCTCCCAATGGCCCGTCGTAACCTGGTTTTCCGTAATTCACCGAGCGCAACTGAGACATACAGGAAAGAATAACAAGATTGTAAAACGATCTTCCAAAAGCAATGGGTGGGAAAACAAATAATTGCAGAAGTATTATTTGTGATCAACAGCCAAAAAGATTTGGCTTGCGCATGTTCTCAGTGTCTTTTGCTTCGCATCCAAGACAAAGACTCACTATAGAGTCTTCCCTCCCTGGTTGTCATCCTGAGCGATGGAATTCTGTAGGCATCTAAAATTGCTTGGAATCCTCTAGTGTAATAATCGAGGGAAAAAAAATGAAGTATTAACAACAAAACATGTACCGCTGGCAACGATTACAAACACAACGAGGGCGAATTGGCTCTTGATAGCAGTCCTAAACAAATTTCTGACACACCCCTGCGGTTGGTCCATTGTGGTTTGAGACTTGGACTTATTGGAGATCCTGACACTTGGTCTCCAAAACCATATCTCCAAAGAGTCTGGCCAAACGCTAAAAGAGAGTTCCAATTTCAACCTGACTGCTGTTGTAGACAGAAATACACAAGTGTGATTGACATGTTCTGCTCCTCTCAGCGTCCTTTAGAGAAACCCGACGGCCTGGACGTTTCCGACCAGAGCAAGGAGCATCCGCAGCATCTGTGTGAGAAGTGCAAAGTCCTGGGCTACTACTGCCGCCGCGTGCAATAAAGAGGATCCCGAGGTCGTCTATCCCCCTTTCCCATCGCTTCGCCTACCAAGCACTCCAAGATAAAGTGAAAAGTGCCAAAATATTCATGTAAATATCTCTAACGCTAGTAATGGCTTTGTGTATCAGCCGCATGCGAGCATTTATTGTGTATAATGGACATGTTTGGGACAGTATTTCTATCCGTACGGGACGCAGTGGATTACCTCACCATTGCGTCCCCTGGTTGTGTGTTTACAGACTCCCTTCATTCTCCCTGCCAAGTGAACTATGAGGATGTGCCGAGTGCTAAAGGTGTCATGTTAGGTTGCTCATACAAAGTGTGCCTTTGAAGAGTTTTTTTTGGGTCAATAGCACATCATATTAACTGTGAATTAACAGAGGGATAATGGACTTTCCATCCCTGGCTTTTGTGTCACATATTTATTTATGTTTGTATATCGTTTTTTGTAGTGCAATTGAATGAACTAAACTGGGATTATTTCATCTGGACAGGAATTGTCTGACCCCACCTCTTGCCATTAAAAACTACTGTAGAATAGAACTTGCTAATGCTTCGGTTTAGCGCATCAGGTAGTTTGTGTCTTTCACATACACATAGAAATTGCCAAACACAAGATTCTTTTTGTGTGATGTTGGCTCAATGCAGTCACACAGAGGATTTGAATCAAGCTGTTTGGCATCTATGCAAAACCATTGCAGATTATGCAGTTTCTTTTGTTGTCGCATGAAGTGTATGGATGAACGAAACAAAGCCATGACTAGCTGATCGTCACCGTCCTTTGAAATGTGATCACGCATGTTGCCGGAGAACTGCTTCAAACGTCTTAGAAACCCAGGTTAAGCTGAAGTATTTTGGTACAAGGGTCAAAATGTGAGCTTTTCGGTCCGTGTGCTAGCATATAATAACATAGCCTGTTTTTCACTGAGATATTCGCCTCAGGATATAGAGTGTGTTTATAGGCACATCTTAGATGAAATGGTCTACATGTGTCTTAAATGAACACTGCTCAAGAAAATGTCAAATAGTTAATTCGCTATTATGTAAACATTTATTTTTAAATTCAAAATTCACTCTTAAAAATATAAGGTTTTCCAAAACAACCTTACAGTGAAAAAAAGCAACACTCCACTTTTAAAAAAGGGAACTTTACGCAATGATATTACGCATCGCTTGAAAATACTTCTGAATCATCTCGCACAAATGTCCCCATGGTTGTAAGGCACACTCCCTGTGCAAGCAGACTGTCATGTTGGTTATACTGACGCAAACTAGGCGATTTTCAAGTGTTACGCAATGTCATCAAGTTTCATGATTATGATGAAGAAAGGAGTGTAGAGTCATATCGACCTAGAAAATAGCAACTTTTCATTTTACGTCAGCCACGATTTTGTCATCGGAGATAAATTTGGGAAATCCTAAAAAATTCCTGAAATCCTAGACTGAAATCGGTGATCTTTGATCATTGGTTTGACATGTTCACTGACAAACACTTAATGCCTATTGCCATCAGATTTTTCCTGTGATGAAGTTCTGGCAGTGTCAGAAGATTTCAGACACTTTCCTGCAGTGTGACAACAACTGCGATGATTGTCAATCCAAGAATTAATAGGAGCTCCGTATTTGATGATGCGATCCATGCAACAATTCAAATGACCGAGGGGAAATGACAAAACAGTTTTTTTTCTTGTTATGTTATTGAGACTCGCCGAGTGCAAATTTGCCGCTACAGATTGTTTACATTTGCTGTGAGGAATCATTTCAGAGTGCGGGATAGTGAAAGTGTCACGGGTGGATGATGTCCAACTCCGTGGGTGTTTTCTTTGGTGTTTGATGCGTCTTCATTGTCGCTCAGTCTGACTTTATGACATGAGATCTTACAGTGTAACATGGAAGATATGTTCATGCAGTCTGACATGCTACAATCATTCAGGATTATAAAATAAAAAATAAATATAAAATAAAAATTGCATCGTGTGAGCCGGCCTTTACTGCATGTAACTACAGAAGAACCAATCATAAAATAGGAAAATAATCGAAACTCTTTTGTCATTTTTGAGTGAGAGGCTAATGGCCTAATCCAATCCAATTCATCGGTTTATGCTAAGCTAAGCTAAGCTAAAAGTGCTCCCTCCAGACCTGGGGATTGGCTAAAATATGTAAAAAACGGTAAAACTCAACTGTTTAACTCGAGGAGAGATGTAAAATGAAAAATAAGTGGAGTGTTCATCTCAAAAATCTTTATAGTAATTTAAAAATGTCATTTATGTAAAGTGCTGTTTGTAGATGCCAACAAATAACCTTAATTTCAGAGTTTTGAGCTTGACCCTTGCACTAAATTAAGTTTTATTAAAGAGATTTTCCAGTGTTTACACAATTATTCTGATCTTATTTCAGTATGAAATCCTTAATGTTTATTGTCTAACCCCCGTATACGTATGCTTAAGCATAACATGCATAACTGATGAATTCCACCCTGTTTATACTGTGATTTTTGGGAAGTGTTTTCTATCCGAGTGGACAAATATATTGTTGTAAAGGGAAAAGAAGGACAAAGTAAGTAATCCTGAAGAGATTTTGAGAAGTAATAAAACAACACTTTGGGTACATGTGATTGGTCAGAAGATATTTCGGCTTGACAGAATTATGACAGAAGCATGTTAATATTGGATGGAAGTATGTGTGCGCAGGATCTCATATAAATATATGTGCCGTTACCTCTCACTATGGCTCACACACAGTACTAACTGATCGTATTTGAGTGTGACCCAGAACTATTGAACAATAAATGTAGCTTTACGTGTTCCAGCGGGAAGTTGTCGGTGGATTTTGTGAGAATTGAGGTTGCTTTGTTAATCCTAGATGTACATATGAAGTTACATGCATTTATACAATGTGTATAATTGTTTACTTATCTTTGGAGTCCACATATTTTGTGTCAAATTTTAGTTCATGTTTCATTTATTGGGATAAACTTTGATATCTTGATTGAAGGGAACGCCTTGTGCCTTAACTCGGTTTGTTCATGAGATGATCGAGGAGATGTTGTGTATGATCACGTATGAGGCATAAAAAAAAGCCGGTTAGATGCCTAAAAATGTAAATAAGCGAATTCTGCTTAACTGAACATTTTTATTTCATTATGGGAAATTCAAGCAGTACAAACTGCCAGGGAGTCAATCATTAGATCACAGTTAAATTAAAAACAAAGCTGTTTCTGTAAGTCGCTACTTTGTTCATTGGACGTCGTCATTGTTTCTGAGAGCCTTTATTTCTTGGTAACTGTGTTTTTGCTAACGGTGTTGCTAATGGCTTCACTCTGCGTACATTCTTACACGCCAAGGTTTACTTCAGGCCTCATTTAGGCTGGAATGAGTTACTCTGCTTTCTGATAAACACAATAATGAATGGCGTAATGAAAATAACCAGCAAAATAAGTGATTCCTGCGCATTCACCTTGACGTTTATAGCTGGTAGTCTGCACGTTAGGATTTCCTTGCATCTTTGGGATCAATTTAAACTCAAACGACCGAACGCACCACTAGATAAAGGCCTCGATTTGCTTTCCTAAAGCAAAATTGTTGCATTGCACTATTGTAAAATGACCCAGAGTTTTGTAAATGTTGAAGTTAGAATTGCGCATTTGAGCTTCCCCTGATTTCTGTCCTATCAAATGGAAGACAGAGCTTGTGGTGTTGAAAGTGTACATGCATTTAAAACTATAGAAAGTGCTTTTCGCGCATGTGATTTTGTCTTGAAATACATATACTTGACTTTTATAGCTCACTTTCAATATAAACGTGTTATTTTCTATTAAAGGTATGTGTATTTTGGAAACAATATAATGATTTTGGAGCAATTTTATATCCAGAAGAGATTTTTTGTCGCTTTTTGTTTTCCATTACAAAGATACTAGTATGTGTTTTGTGTATATATTCGATCGCCATTATTATCAATTTAGTTATTTCAAAATTGTTATGATGCAATATTAAAACTTTGTATGTGAAAAAGGGCAACTTGCTGAGATGCAAAAGAGCTGGGAGTTTTTTTCTTTCTTCGATATATCTTCGGTTATATCCTACAGAAATATTTATGGAAGGATTTTGTTCTTTTTTTTAACAATTCAATTCTTTTTTGTATAAAATATGCAACAGAAGCTACTCTATGAAGAAAATATTGATGATTACATAGAATATTATTCAAAGGTTGGTACATAATTATTATGCCCTTACAAGCCATTTTTATGTGTGTGTTTTAGTATATAGTTGCCTTAGTTATGAGCATATGTGTGCTTTGATTCATTGTGTGTCTGTTATACAGCATGAATGTTGTGATTTGCATTTATAGGAAATCTTTAACGCTCGTTCTAACATCACAAACAGCTGTTTTTCATATAAAAGACTGACTCACACACTGTAAGTCACAGGGCCTTTTTACTGAGGTGTTTTATACAGTGGCAAAAAGACGTGACTAACTCCAGTCATTGACCATAACACTGTATTGCACGTACAAACGTTTTACATGGTTGAAATGTGTTAGTGAATCAGGCCCATACTGTATGAAACTGTGAGCCATCTCCAGTTACTGCCAAGTCCAGGAATGATGTCGAAATGTTTTTCTTCGTATGTAAAAAAATGGAAAGAAATCCAAGACTATTTTTCAAAACAAGTGTGTGGGACTGAAGTTTGCATGTGCATGTTTTATTTGTTTAAATGAATCAAGAAATATAATTTGTGCAATGTATTCTTATTTAATATTAATACGTTTAATTCTTGCTAAGGTATCTTTTGTAGATTACACTTCTAGATGTTAGTCATTAATAATGCCTCCGTTCACTCCTAGGATTTCCAGTACCATTAATAGATTTACTGAATGTACTGATTTAACACTCATTTTTGTAATGTCTGTAAAATATTTGTCGTCATATTGGAGTGGACAGAGCAACAGAAAGCCTTGATGAAGGAATGTACCAGAATGTAAGATGAGATGAAATCTGTTGCTCGATGTCCATGAAACGGCATTCCGATATGTGCCTTATTTGTTAGTTAGAAAAACTGAAGACTGTGCTTTTAGAAGTTTGTTCAATTAAAACATGACTAAAAGAAATACGTCTCTCTTTCATTTGTTTGTGCATGCATTGATATATAGGTACTGTATATACTTCTGTTCAGTTTGGGCCAAATATACTGTGTGTACAGCCTGTTCTGGGATTTCAACATATTCTTTGGCACGTCTCTGGGTGTTGGGAAATTGTGTCCATTTTAAATCAGTCATGCTGAAGGCAGTATGGACTGATTAATTATTTAGATACGGTCCTTGGGAATGATGCTTGTGTAATTGAAAACCAAAGTCTAAAGCCTTGGGGAGAAGTTGTCATTCTGACATCACATCTATTTAATGTTGAACAGGCCGAGGAGCGTTTCTTTTTGGGTGTGTCCACACTTGTAGTTTGGATATCTTGGTTCATTTGGTCGAGATTTGAAAAGAAAAATGACATGACTGATACATTTGGCCCCGATTTGCTTAACCCTTATGTGCTGTTGGGGATGTTTTCATCCACTCTGGAGTCTTAATTTGGCCATAACTTTCTCTGGGTTTAAGCAGATGGAATGATTTTTGTGGACAAATCTTATTTTGATACATATTTTAAGAAACTGCTTTGAAAATGTAAAAAAAAAAATCAACAAACTTGGGCAAATTTACTACCCTTTCCTGAAGTCCATTATAATGACATTTTTTGATTGCAAAGCCATAACAACATATATAATCATGCATTCTTAATTGTTGCTGGTTGTTTATATTGGGAAAAGTTAAAATGTCAATCAAATTTTTTCTGTTGATCATCAGTTGAAGTGAAAAAGAGCTTAGTTTCTGGCTTAAAATTATATAGTTGTATGGAGTATAGTGTGCACGAGTGGAGACCTCTGAGAAAAATAATAAGCAGCTCAGCTTTCAGAACATAGTAAGTGTATTGATTCTTGCACACTATAATTTGTTGTTTTGCTCCATGGAACTCCATACAAAACTTTTTTGTACAGGCCTATCTAAACAGTTAATACTGCCAACTGATGATCACAGTAAAATTACAGTTTCCCACTTTCGAACAGGGAAAAACACTAACAATTAGGAATGCATGGTTATATGGTGTCATGGCTTTGTATTTAAAAATGTCCTTATAAAGGAAGCCAATGGGGCACAACGGCCACGGAAATAAAGTCAATTTGAACAGTACACAAGGGTTAATGTTTATACAAAAAAAAATAAACTTGATTATTTTGTTACAAAAAAAAATAAAAAATTCAAACAATGCTGTGCTAAATGCACTCCTTGTATGTGCATATACAATGAAATTTCTTTTATGAATTCACAACTTGTGAAACCTTATGCCAAGTTTACACTCATTTTTAGCTCTGATTTTTACTCGTTGACATACACTACTGGTCAAAAGCTTGGGGTCAGTAGGATTTTTAAAATATTTTAAAATAAACTTATCCTGCTCACCAAAGCTGCATTTATTTCATAGTGAAATGTTATTGCACTATAAAATAACTGGAATATAATAATTTATTCCAGTGATTTTAAAGATTAATTTTCAGCTTCATTACTCCAGTCTTCAGAGTCACATGGTTTTTCAGAAATCACTCTAATAATAATATTAATTATTATTATTGGTAATTTTAATAAAATCAATAATTACTGAAGTAAAAATTTATTTTGAAACTACATACAATTAGTAATAAATATTTAATAAATATTTACTATTTATTTTACATGTAATAAATGTTGCCTTGATAAACAGAATTATTTTCTTAAAAAAATAAAATAAAAAAACATGAAAAAAAAAACTCGCCACAAACTTTTGTCCGGTAGTGTACTTTGTGAAAATACCTGAAATCGGAATCAAATTGGTGTTTGTTTACACAAGTGACAGTCAAGCTGTGTGAATGATCAATGATGCTATCTGAGAAAATATATTTGTATCAAATATTACATATTAATATAAAATATTTGGTATGCTAATCATCTTGACCTGTCTGTGATTCAAATTCCTGCCGTGTGAAATAAGTTCTGACCTACAGCCAATCAGAAAGTTTTTTTTTTTTTTTTTCATTTTTTATGAGAATAAATAAGCTTTACAAAAACATTAAACTAAACAAAGCAGAAACATTTGTCGTAGCATCTTGGAGAATTTTTTTTGGCCTCCAAATCTCAACTCTGATCTCACGTGTGATCTTGATTGTTTGAGAGCCAAACAAATTGTCAACGACTGTTTCCAGTGTGTATTCTCCTGTCCCTGATCAATCTTGCAGTGTGAAAAACACTGTGATCCACAACTCTGAAAATCACGCAGTGTGAATTTAGCATTAAAGTAAACAAACCACAAGATTTACATGAGCTTCACACGGCTATTCACATTTAAGATACTGTCTTAACACATTTCCTTGTGTCAATATTTGTTTACAGTAAAATGTTAGTTTTATAAAATAGCACACAAATTCCTAACAAACACAAATAAAGATCTGCTTCATGATGTAGTTCTGACACATGTATTCTACAGTAATGTGTAATATTGTGGGAAAAAAAAGCTTCAGTATGCTGTAGTCTTTATGGTTGTATTTAGTGACATCAAAGCATCGTTTACACACTTTGAACGTCTGATATTTGAAACGAGATTCATCATAAAGCTTTGGAAAGTTGATGAAGCAATGCTTCAAAAGCAGCCATCACCAGTGAACACGCTTTCAGTTTCAGCTGGGCTCTGAAAAGCACAGGTCTGAAGACACAGATGTGTATTTTTTCACTCAGCTTAATTACTTGTAATGATTGTAAACATATGAGCGCTGTATGTGAAGGTTAAAACTTGGCAATGAAGCTGGCTTTACTCTCGAAGCCAACTTTAAGTAATTGGTCTACACATTCCAAATCCCTTAAACTTCACTAGAGGGTGGAGGCCCAAATTATATCAAGTTTGTTGCAACAATGCAGACTTAAACAGAACGGGAATGAGAACGTCTCTATAGCAACATTGCAATCGGAGAAGTCAAACAAAGCCGCCGTGAGTTCATACCCCATATGGTTTCATTTAAGAGAAAGCAGTGTTTTCCACAAAGCTTCATAATTTACTTTCATAAGGCATTACTGTGATAAGCTACACCTACACGCCGTCTGAAACGGACCGCTCATTTTCATTTCAGGCTATGTGGATGTCAGTTATAATGGAACACAGCTGACGATCTCCTATTCCCAACTGTCTCTGCAACTATTGTGTTAAACATGTTCGGAGGATTCTTGCTGAATGTTTCACACTGGAGGTGGAGAGGCTTCATAGCCAAACAGGATGTCATATCCTGCTTTGGGGGACAGGAAATCTTGTTGCTGGATAGAGACTAAAAAAAGCTTTTAGGATCATTCTCAGGAAGATTTAAAAAGCCTGCCACGCAACCAGATATACGTACTGCTGAAGTTGTAGCCGACCCTCATCTGGAAAACAGCCTTGAGTCATTAAAAAAAAAAAATGGGCACAGGATGCAAATATCCTGGAAGAAATTCCATATGTCAAAACCAGTTCTGTGTGTAATTTATTTATTTAAAATGCCTCCTGGGGTTTCTCTGGCATCGTTCTTAGAAGGTAAACAATCTCCATATAGCATTTATCCTCATTTCAAAACCAAAAAATGGCTTTAACAGAGTACATTTCCTCAATGCCCAAGGTGTTTGACCCATAAGCAAGGCTTCTTGTGTAGGAGTAAGTTATAACCATACGCACTGAGTCTTTTGCTTACTTAGCAAGCATAAAACATGTTAACGAATCCACAGACTCACACATTTAAATGGCGATAGGTAAGTACTGTAGAAAAAATACATGCGTAAAGACTTTTGGTTCGATTAAAATCAAAAATGTCCTGGGTTACTGGAGTTCTCCACAGTCTGTGATGGCAACCTTCTTCACAGTTCCTCCATCATGCAGGCCATAGGACTCCATCAGAGAGACCGTCTCCATTCCCTCTTTGACCTGTCCAAACACAACATGTTTCCCATCTAGCCTGAAATAAAATGACACAAACATCATTTCAAAGCTTAAGCAAAACCAAGGTAATGATTGAATCTCCTCAGCAGCGTACCATTCTGTTTTTGCAGTGCAGATGAAAAACTGAGAACCATTTGTGTTTGGTCCAGAGTTTGCCATTGACAAAATACCTACATGAAAAAGAGAGAGATAAAAAAAAAAAAAATCAGACCACCTTCTGCGTTACTGCATGCTTTTTACAGGCAAATTTGTCACTTTAAATCATTTAATGATATAGAGATTCAGGGAAAATCTAACAATCAACAGTTCCACAATAACAAGCAGAGAAGAAGTTTTACAAAGCAGCAGGAGGTACTGGACCCAACACAACATCTGGGTTGGGTAAGTTACGGCTCTCTACAACAATTACATCCAGTCATGTATTACACAACCCAACACTATTTGCCCATATTCATCTATCAAGACGGTTTGTGGTGTAGGATCTCCCTGGCACCAAAAAAGTGCATTGGGATACGCTGGCTTTTAGAAAGTAGGTCAATTGTTTAAAGATTACAAAATCAGTTCCAGCAATTGAGGGAGCCCTACCGCCACCTTGTGGACTCATTCAGAGCACATGCTCATACAGTTTGTGCACATTTTGACAAATTGTGCTGAATCAGATCCCAGAGGAACTCAATAGATTAGATACTCTGTCAAATGAACTCTCAGATTTTTACAGAAATCAACTTTACCTACATTGAGAGTTTCTAATTAATTATTATTTGTTTTGATAATTTATTATTCATTGCCCATCTGCAACTTATTTCATGGAAAGATCAACATAGCTAAACACATATTACATAATAACAGCAACTTCATTCATCAAAATGGGATTATTAAAAAAAACACACCAGATTTTAGATTAAAAATTTATATATTTAGCTGGTGTTGTTTTGACTTTGAGACTTTATAAAAACATCCATCAAACTACTTTGTATTAAATCCTTGTGTAGAAGTCTTTCAAATTTTATATTTTAACACAGTATGTTTTATGGTGAGTGAGGCTTGACAGTGTTCAAATCCAATTCAGCATCTAGTATATACATTTGGGTCATACCTGGTCTCAAAAACAACATCGATACAACTTTACAATTGGTGGCTTTCACTAGTATGTGCTTGATTTGAAATTTATAATTTGTTACAATGTGTAAATACATGTTCTTACATTGTACTTATGATTGATTAAACCTGCATGTCATTACATATGCAATTAATTTCTGTAATTACATTTTTAATTACACTGTTGACCATCCCTTACACCTTAACCCATACTCAAATCGACCTATACCACCACCTGTCCCACAACACTACCAGTATCCCACCTCAAGAGCACCAGACGTGTTGAACACTCATATAAATATGAACACAGCAAATGAATTGTTTTAATTTATTCGATGCAAGTACATAGTAGTTAAGACCACCTAATATAAAATGGGACCATAACATTTGGAAAGTGTCTTTCATTTAATTTTGCTGTAAACATATTTTTCAATTTTCCATAGAAGCTTACAACTTATTTACAATTTGAGCATTTTACAGAATATTTATCAGCTGAACACCCCAACCTCACACCCAAAAAATTACTTTTGCACAGGAATGAATCAATGCAGGAATGCATAAATATATAAAGCAAACAAACTAAATGTTCCATACAGTGCCAGAAATTAACTTTTAACATTAAGAGGCAATATACAATTAATTCCAGGTGCATTTTCACATACATCAACAGCATTTATGTGGTCTTTTATGGCTGTATTTTAATTGTACCGATCATTTTAACCAACTACTAGAAACTGTTTATAACAAAAACAATTTAAAGCTGAACGTAAATTATAAATTTTTAACACAACAAAAAAATGTAAACCAAAAATGTATGACTATTTTTTGCATCTTAAAAAAAGTGTTTATATTTTTTTGTGCCATTTATGACACATGCCCCCATTTAATCCTGACCCTGAATGGATGGACGGACCGTATTATGGTCTTTTATTATTTATATAATACCCTTTATTATTGTGCCTGCTCATGGGAAGTAGTATACAATAGTGAGTGACATCACCTGCTCCAGTGTGTTTCAGCTTGAAATTCTCATCGTTAAATTTCTTTCCATATATAGACTTTCCACCAGTGCCATTGTGATTAGTGAAATCTCCACCCTGTCAACAGAACATCAGTCAATAAATGGCCTTGGGACCAAACTTTTTACACAAAAACAATAAAAAACTGTAGCAAAATAATAGTCACCTGACACATGAACTCTGGGATGATTCTGTGAAACACTGAACCTTTATATCCAAAACCATGCTCTCCTGTACACAGGGCGCGAAAGTTTGCTGAAAGACAAGAACCATCGTGTATTATTTGTTTATCCTTACGCATTGATGTTTAGTTGTTATATTATATACTTTTTTATTGTTTATTGAATATATTCAGTTGGTTGTATGTTTTGCAAGTTAGGGTTAGGTTCCACAGTATAGTCATTATATTGGATGAAATGCACGTGTTCTTACCAACAGTTTTGGGTACAACATCAGCGAAAAGCTGCAAATAAAATATGAAAACCGGTCTTTAGAATATTTGATGATTAATTAATAAAATAATACTACTAGCAAAAATATTGTAATTCTATACATTTAGTCGTATTTAACATTAAAATGACTGCTAAAAACGATATCATTTATCATGTTACTTTCTGTCATTGGAAGACATGGCAAGAAGAAATGTATTACTATTATAATAAACTAATAAAAAATGTACTTTGTGAATTGATATATTTGTATAATAAATCGACTTTTCGGTCTTTCTTCGTTCATTTATTCTTAGTTAACGTTACTTACAACAAGTATAATAATAAAGCACGACTTGCCTCAATAATAATTCTTCCAATGAACTCGCCGTCAGCTGCAATATCCATAAACACAACAGGGTTCTTTCCTGGTCCTGAAAGCAGCCTGCTCGCAGCGAGTGAGACAGAGCAATATTTCAAACGGCTTTTCATCTGTAACATTCTTGCTGTAGAGTTGAAAACCCATCAACAAATACATGAAAGAAAATAATCAGTGTTCAAGGTTATAACCGCGTTCACCATCGAGCTGTCAACTGTACACAAAAACACGTGACGTGTTCTTCTACGGTTAAAGGCATGAGGTCGTGTAAAACGGTCAAAATGAAGGCAACAGCGGCGCCACGTGGTGTGAGGAGTCAAAAAGAAATTATTTTCATAACTGTAAACAAAACTTGGATAGTCATTTTTTATTATTAAAGGCAAGTATGAAATCGCATTTTATCTAAAAATGATCGCCCCAGAGTTTATTATAGCTTTTTAACAGAGTTTTGTCTCGTCTATGAGCTTAGCAAGGCATCACGTTTGTTTAGGCATTATTTCGTCTTTTATCTCATTATTTATACTCTATAAATATAAGTCTTAATTTAGATGTATATCATAAAAGTCATAACGCCTAAACGTTTGAAACAACAAAAAAAAAAGGGAATTTGACTGTACTTAGGTTGTACCTGACTATAATTTGCCAATATTCGATTCAACCTTTTTTATTTGGACAAAGAAAATTTTCTACTTTTCTTAAAAGATGCGATTTGCTTTCACTCACACTAAAACAATGCTTAAAAACGTTTCCTGAACTTCTAGTCTATTTCGCATGTCAACCCTGCTGAAAAAAACAGCATTGAGTATGCTGGTAAGGTATATGTATTAAAGCTGGTGTGCTGGTCTGGTATGCTGCTTTTAATGCTGGTTCTGGTGGTCTCGATGCTGGTCTTGCTGGTCTCAATGCTGGGCAAAACCAGCATTGAAACCAGCAAGGCAGTATCAAAACATACCTTACCAGCATATGCTGTTTTTTTCACCAGGGAAATGTTATATCCTTCAACAAAAATGATCTACCAAATGAAATTCTAAGTCTTTTTAGTTTTTTTTCTTCTTTTTATTAACATAAATATTCACTCATGTCTCATTGGTTTACTTTTAAAAAAATTTTTTTTTACCTATTTTAATTTGAATTTGCGGATGTTCTTATTTTGTATTTTTTTAAAGAATTATGAAGAAAAATAAACTTTTTTGTAGCTTGAATATTTGGTAAACGTAGTATGTCTAGATTTAATTTACATTTCTCACTACTTGCAACACATTGCTCACATTTGCATACACCAATGGTAGCAAAGTAATTATTTAAATAGACAAAACTACTCAAGGCAGCCAATGTCTCAGAACAAATCTTAGTGAATCAATTCTAAAGTTTAAGTCCAACTTTCTACTACTTTATTTTTCCTCAATGTGTTCTCTTGAGGATGCCTTTTTATTAGTCTGCCAGTGGTTACCAAAGAGTTCTGCTTGCTTTGTCTGTGGTTGTTTTCTTGTAAAACCTGTGGTTTTTGCAGCTATTGAAGCACACACTTAATAAAAGACCAGAAAAACCGCAATCTTGTTTCATCTGAATACATATTTATTAGATAAATATTAGGATGTCACAGCATCTAACTACATACAGTTTTGCAAGACTAAAAATCACAATTAGTTTTTTGTTTTTTTTCTTTCTTCTGACCAGTTTAGAATATGAAATGATTGTACAACAGAATGTACAAGCAAAGACAACTGCAACGTTTGGTGCCAATCACCTCAAGATTGTACCTCATTGTTTTTGTTTTACATTTTCCTGATCGTGATATCAAAATTGTACAAACTCTGGATTTTGGTTACAATCTTTTGGAACCGCTTCTGGCCCCTGTGTCCCTATTGTCCAATTGAATTCCCCCCCAAAGGATTTTCTTCATCATCTTCTGTAGCACCTTATTAAGTACACAAGAAATGGAGCAATACACATAAGCTAAATATTACACAAATGTAAAACAAATGTGTCTTTTTTTTTCTTTTATCTCCCCTCCCCGAATTCCTCAGTCAATGTGGGATGAGTATTTTACAAAAGTGAACAAATGCTTCGAGGTTCCACAGACACTAACAAACACAGATTCATTTTACCCAATTTAGATTCTGATGGGAGGATGCAAGCTTTACAAATTCTAAATACACAATGCACATTCCCCTGGGGAAAATGAATACATTTCTGTTAACGTGTCTCTATTTATCATTTACATATGTACATGCATCCCTAATGTGCCCCTTCCCCCCTTTTCCTTCGACCCTCTCCGAACCCTGAACAAACTCACACACGCTCACACACACACACACACACACACACACACTCACACAGTCCAGTTGGTTCAAGGCTTTGTGTTCCTGCCTCGGTGCCCACTGTCTCCTCAACGACTGTACATGGATAGCACAGTTTAAAGTTCAGTTTATGCCTATTTGTGTCTACAAAGTGGGAACGAGTATGTGGCAGTGCATCTTTGAAAAAGGATATACAAGTGAACAACAGGACAAACGCTATAGAACTTGAACCCACATTTTCCTGCTGGAGTTCCAAGTGTTTCAATTGTCGACGACAAACATCATTTCTTTTGTACATAATTCTACACCAAGAAGAACAGAAGAAAACAAACAAACTAGAAACGTAATATTGCAATTCATACAAAATAACTTAAAACCGATAAACGCATCCCAAACTAATAATCGATAACAATCGTAGCTCTTCGATAGTCTTTGAGAAATCATGGAAATGTCATTATTATAATGTCATAAATACTGAGAAACTATTTGCCAGGGTCATTTTGATTTAAAAGCAAAGAAAATACAGAAAAAATAAACATTTTGTGAAAATCGACTGATCTGCTGTTATAAAAGGACTCACAGAGCACTGATTGATGCATCAATGGGTGTTGTTGAGATAGCTTAATCATGTAAATGAATTAAAAAGTACAATCTATAAATACAGTATAGAAGACATCCTAAAAACACTTTCTTCATTGTTTGCTGTAGAATTACCGTGTAAACAAAATGATAAAAGTGGGACAAATTACACATTTCAATCTAATTCAATTGGGAAATGGTCTCTTTAAAACCGCTTTGGGCCACCTTCTCAAATCAGGGTGCATAACTTTGGTAATCTATGGACATCTTGAGAATAAAATGTACATATTTTGTACAAAGAAAACACAATTATATGAACAATATATTGTGCATTATAAAATAAAACGTTACCATGACAGTTCATGAATAAAAGGCTGAATTAAAACGAGAACTAAAATAAAAGGAGATTGGCAACTGAGTGTTTTAACATCATATGCAGTTTGTGGGGTGCAAACGGTACACTGAGAGCCTAAATTGACCAAGCCTCATGCATGACAGAGAAGACGAGATGACACAAAACTGACTGACTACCCTTCCAAAAGCCAACTGCTTTCTTCTTTTACTGCGACCGCCAATGTGGAGAGTCCAATCTGTCGGAAGATGTTGTGGATACAGAAACGTTTGCGATCCTGTCTCGAGAAGGAAACATGACACATATGTCTGAAAGTGCTGGACATATGAATCGCATCGTCCTGCGGCGTGAGCGACTTTTCGCAGGACTCCCATCGCTAGTCTCTGGGATGGGAGGATTAAAATGGTTCCTGTGGTCGAGAGGTGAGCTTTTCTTCCCTTTTGTTGTCTCCTTTACAAGCTTCTAGGTGCAGTTTGACGCATTCTCTTGTGCTTTTTTTTTGTTTGTTTTTTTTTTTTGTATATGATGGAGATGGACAGACGAACAGTGTGGACATCCAGCGGACGAGGATTTGGGAAGCCGTGGTGGTAAGAGCTTGGAAGAACAGACCTTCAAGAGATTGCGGACACACAGAGGCCGGTACAGGAAGAAATATATATATTTATATATTTATATATCTGCTTTCTATTCAGGTCTTCTTTTCACAAAAGGAAAAAAATCTGAATTAAAAATGCTACAATACTTTCCTAGTGAGCGCACACGCAGTTCTGTGTGACGCATTCGTATGAACTGATTATAGCTGCACATGTATTTCCAATAGTATTGAAAGATATCACTTTAGTGCCAACCAACATGGCTGCCATATAAGCGTGGAAAAGGTTGCTTGTAAAAGAGTGAGATTATTTACACGAGGAAGAGGCAAAAGGATGGCTGTTTCCTGTTTGCAAAGTACAGAGTCAGTCTTCAGGTGCCTCTCCGTTCCTGACAGCCAAACTATCCAAGGGCCTGTGGGAAAAGGCCGACTAGAGGAAGTCAGTTGTTCTCAAAGAGGGAAAGCAGATCGTCGTTGCTGCTGCTCGGAAGGTCTGGAGGGTCTAAGTATGACAGCAGCTCGTCTGGGTTCGCCAGTTCTGGAAGAAGCTGCGGAGGATAGGACAGACAGATGTTTAGCATCTAGAAAACTCACAAGAGTAGGGATATGTTGGGTTCAATGTAAGTTGAGCTCATACAACAGTATTATGCCACAAATAAAGATACTTTAGACTCCTCATTGTAATCAAGATTATAGTTAGAATGGATGAGGGACAACTACTTTTTATGCATCTAATAACTGTCCACATTAAACCTGTCAAAGGCTTGGTGTTATTTAAGCTGTAAAGATGTTTAAATATTCATTTAAACAGTTGTTTTAGGGTTTGTTCACATAAAAACAAATGTGCTGTCATGATTTACTCACTCTCAGGTTGCTCCAAACCCATAAGACTTTAATCATTGGAACATGATGAGTGATTTTTGTCCCTCTACTTCAAGCCTATTCTCTAAATAAAAGGACACTTAAAATGCTTGTCAAAGCAGGAATAAAACTGGGGTCACATGGGAGTGTTAGAGGGTCCGGTAGGACTTTATAATAACTACACACTATTAATCATTTAATAAGCATTAACAAATAGTGAATACATTATCTGTTAAGCATTTTCAGACGTTAATAAGTTGTTTAGAAGTTTAGCTACAAATGCTGTATTCTAGACTCAAAAGCACATTTAAAAGGTGTTTAATGACTGTAAGTTCATACATTGCTAATGATTATTTTGTCATTACGTATTGCAGTATTTACAAACTAGTTATTTAAAAATAGTTGGTGCTATTTTAAGATCATTCAGAATGAGTAAGTAAATGATTAATAAACTATTTAAATTAACATTCATACATCTTATTATTCAGGCATATAATAATGGTTATTTGTATGTTAATGCTTTATTAAGCCAACTTCATCCAGTTTTGTGACCTAATCTAAAGTGAGGACTATATATGCTTTATAAATCCCTCATATGGTAAGAGACAATTAAAGGCTCAGTTATATTCTAAACAGGAAAGAAGAAAATAAATTAGTTTATTAATTTCTAATCATTTGAAGATACACAAATGAAACTATTAATTGAAAATAAATCTTTGCAATATTAACTACAAATAAAGTTACAGTACAGTTTAAACTTTGCTAAATAACTTTAAAACGCTGTATCATAATATCTTGTTAAATTATTATATACTTGTTGTTTTATCCAATTTTATTCAATTGCAATTAATCCTAATTGTATTTTGACACTCCTGTTATTGGGCAATGTTTAAAGTTTACCATCATCTTTTTTTAGATAAGATTGTTAACATTTATTGTTAATTTAATACTGAGCCTTTAATTGTCATTTATCAGGCAGCATAAATAGTCCTCACTTTAGATTAGGTCACAAAACTGGATGAAGTTAAGTCAATAAAGCACTTACTAACATACATAATAACCATTACCATATGCCTGAATAATAAAATAAATAAATGCTGATTTGAATCGTTTATTAATCATTAACAAACTCATTCTGAACGATTCTAAGTCACCAACTACTCTTAAATACAAATGGTTTGTAAATACTGCAAAACTTCATTTAATAATGAACAATTAACAAGTGATAAAGTATAAAAACACAATCATCAAGTTAAGTATACAGCATTTGTAGCTGTGCTTAAAAACTGCTTACTAACGTCTATTAATATAAAGTTAATGCTTAACAAATAATAAATTAACTATATGCTAATGTTAAATAATTATTCATAGTGTGTAATAAAGTGTTACCATAAAAAGCAATAATGCAACAAATGGCATTTGGAACCATATACAGTAGATACTTTGTACATTTTGATAGGGATCTCTCATGGAATGGTCATATTTGGGGGTCTGCTGCATCTAAAAGATTGAACTCCCATGTGGTAAAGCATCATAAAATAAATCGATATGAATCCACGTCAAATCAAGTCTCTGGAAGAAAAACAATCATTGGTATCACTTTATTTTGATGGTCCCTTTAACACATTTTGTTGAATTTAAGTTACACTGCATTTAGATGTCAACTAATTCTGAAATAGATTATACTGTAAGTAGACTGTTAGATTAGGGTTGGGATTATTGTAAGTTGACATGTACTTGCAAAGTTTCTTATAGCCAGTTAAATGTCTGTTGAAGGAGCAATATCAGCAGATATTAAGCTCCCAGTCTTTTAATACTCAAATCAGAAGTGATTGGCATATTGTTGCAATGCAACTTTTAGTCAACAAACTGTGCAATAAGGACCATCAAAATAAAGTGTTACCCAATCATTTTATATGATGATCAAATCTTATTGCATCCATGAACATATGTGAGCACAAAATCTCATTGTTTGATGAGAAAGCCCAAATGTGCTGATGTCACGAGTATTAACCTCATTGATTTTTAATGATGAAACCCTGCTTGATGGTTAAACTGCATATCTTTAGAATATGTGGATGAAATCGCTTAATACATTCTGATGTTTTGAAGTGCCAGAGTTTTCAACAGATTTTCAATGGTGCGACAGAAATCTTTCAGATTTTATTACAAAATTTATGTGTGTTTCAAAGATGATGACAATTTTCATTTTGGGGTGAACTTTGAAGTTGTCAAAGCTGGACATCCCATATAACCCTAGATATAACTTTACAAAGTGAAAGTTAAATTGTTTTGTGGTAGTCAACATTGTGCTAAATATGCTTCCACCACCTTTGCTATATCTGGAACATTCCTTAAATCAGAATATCTAGGAAACACGTAGAGCTTTGAATCATGAGGAAAGCGAGACGCTCGCATGATTGAGCAAGAAATGTTAGTAGCGCGTGATCCAGAAACCATACTCACGTCCAGAGAAGGCTCAGGCATGTCTGCGGGCCCCTGTCCACCAGGCTGGCCATCGGCGGAGGGGTTGAAGCTCATGTCGGGATGCGGGTGAGTGTTTTGGCTGGGCTGCTGTTGGGACGGGGGCTGGCGAGGGGGCTGGGATGATGGGGGGCCGCTGTGATGCAATGGCTGAGCTGATTGGCTGTTGGGGTGGGGGGACGCGTGCATGCCTGGCTGCATGGAAGCATGGGATTGATCAGCGCTCACAGGATGAGGCATCTGCGAAGGGAGGACAGAGGAGCGGTAAGGTGGAGCTCTACTGCTGAGGGAGATCAAGTGACAGGCAACACACACACAGCGGGACGAGTGCCATGCAGATGATTCCACAGCACTCACACACACACACACACACCCACACACCCTCAGAGGATTTCATAATTGTTTATATACTTTCTTTTTAACCTAGCCAGGGGATTGTCAGACTTTTTCAAATGTTTTTTCCCTTTTATTGATGAACACATTTCCTGTTAAAGTGGTTAATTCGTATGAACTTGAAAAATCTTTGTACATTTTAGTATGATTTGTTCATCTCACAACGACGGTTGGCTTTAGTGTTGGGCTTTTAGAAATCACACATTTTCATTAGGTCGAATCAAATCAAGATCTTGATTAATTGAACATTTTAACTCTATCATGATTAATGTACGATTATTATTTTTTTGTTTAATTTATGTTTTTGTCCCCATAGTTTACTGACAAATTTTCTTCTGTAAATCTGCTCACATATTACAAGTGAGAGATTTTTAAACGTAGGGTGCATTACTTGATTTTAAAATAACTGAAGTAAACACACACTATCTACTATCTATGAATATTTATTAAACATTTTTATTTATTTACATTATTCATTTATTTAACATCAAACAGTTTGCATGTTCTTCTTGTGTTCATGTGGGTTTCCATCGAGTGATTCAGTTTCCCCCACTATCCAAAGACATGCCCTATAGGTGAATTGGTAAGCTAAATTGTGAGTAGTAAATGTGTGTGAATGAGGTGTATGGGTGTTATTGGTGATGGGTTACAGCTGGAAGGGCATCCGCTGCGTAAAACATATGCTGGATAAGTTGGCGGTTGATTCCGTTGTGGCAACCCTTGATCAATAAAGGGACTGAGCCGAAAAGAATGAATGTATAAATTAATAATAAGAATAAATCATAATATAATAAGTATAATTCAGCCTTAACAGAGCAGGGTCACATGACTCCACACATGGTAGGGAAAGTAATTGAAAAAAATGACCTGGAAAATTTGATTATAGTTTCTGAATGTTGATTTTGACTACTTTGATTAATTATCCAGCCCTAATTTTTATCCCAACTAAAAGATGAATTTATACGAATTAGCCACTTTCGTTTAACAATATGGAAAACATATTTTACATGAGAATATAAATTGTTTCCTAATGAGATAGGCCTGATTATGCAGAGCTCAAAAATATTGTGAGATAGGAAATGTGTGTACAACTATTAATAAAAAACATTCTCCAGTAAGCCAACTGGAGCCTTTAAATATTTCTGTGGATAATGCGAGCCCCTGGTGTCAAAGAAAATCGAGAAACATTGTATAATCAGATATGTATGTGCTACACATTATTGCTAATGTGTTTTTAACAGTAAAATTAACTATTCATTTATGGGTTTTATTGCTTTTCAGGTTTCAAATAACAACAAAAAAACATTACCTTAAGCAGCTGTAACCAACATAATGGAAACAAACCCTATAATATTATCTTTTTGTGCATTTTCTTGCACAGAATGAAAAAATGGGACTTTTTCTGCATAATAATTCTAAATTTGAGCCAGCTTTGTAGCAAACTAAGATCCCAGCTACTTTTCTTTTATTAGTCCTGTAATTAATCATAAATTATTGTAGTAAAGTTAGTTTTGTATAAACTAAAATATTTTAGGAATACTCTGAACTTGCATTATATTGTTACATATTTTATATTTTACTTATTTATGTTTATATGTAATTATATTTATTTCATTAAAATGCCATCATTCTGTAAATCTTTTTTTTTTTAAAAGCACTGGTATCGTTTTAAAACTATCCACTTGTTAACTCATGACGTATTGATGACGTATGGAATACTGTTTCCGGGTCCAAGCCACTACTCATTTGACTTGAGAAAATATTTGTTTATGGTCACTTTTATAGCCCGATCACACATTAAAGTTAATTTGATATAAAATCATCCTGTTCACCACAGTCTCTGGACTTGCTGCATCACGAATACCAAATTTTAAACAATTTATAAAAAATGAATCACTTTCTGGCTCTCTGATATTAGGCATGTATATATATATATAATGCGATCATGATTTTCAAAAGTAATAAATCGCTTTGTAAATGTTTGTTATTACAAATTTGTTATTATTAAGTCTCCCCATACAGTTTGATAGAGTGATTTAACCTGGAAGCTGTTTCGCGTGGACACACTTAACAAGCAGATAGCTTTGCTACTGGAATCATAAATGCAAACAAATGACACCCAACCCAAGTCGAATATTGATGCTTGTTGCTTGATGTGACCTACCGTATCAGGCATGCCATGGGCGAGGGGCTTGTCGGGACCCATGAGGCTGTTGGGCACGTCTGGTGGATGTGAGAGCTGGGGTCCGTGCATGAAGTCATTCATGGGAGCTCCGCCACCAGAGTTACTGTGGGGAAAGTCAAAGTTTCCATGGCCCTGGTAACTATTGCCTGATGCACAAAACAGAGAAACAGCAATGAGGAGCGATGACCTCAGCAATGCAGAGACAAAGAGATTTAGACAGCTTGGACGGCAAATCAGCCCATTAAAAGCTCACAAGCATTAAGCTCTTCTGACTGTTCTTATGACTGCAGAGGAAAAAATTAAACGTGCTTGAACAAAGGAGCTTGTAAAACACTAAGGAGTATTTTATAAGGCAGGCAAAGAAGAAAGAGCACTGATTGGGAGCTGACCTCTACCTTGGCCCCCATATTCTCCATTGTTTCCTCCATGCTGTGGGGGGAGTGGGGTGTAGGGCGAAGGGCCGGGACCCAGCTGGGCGATCATATCCATCACATTAGGCATGATCATTTGACTGGGACTCATGGTTTTGAAACGTTTGGCCAGAGGGCCATCTGGGTCCTCCTTTATATGAATGTCCGACTTTATGGGAACCGGCCTCCAACTACACGTAGGATCGATGTTGACCTCTTCAAACTCCGAACTGCAAGAATGGGACAACATTTATGACTGTGAATTTCAGGATGCTTATGATTGAACAATCATGTCTCGCGTGCATTTTTATAGATCTCGCAAAAACAAAATTGCGTGAATAATAAACTTACTTTTGAATGGCATTGAGAATTCCCCACATGTACTGATCCACCTCCAGGCCTTCCAATAACGCTGTTTTACTGGGGACAGACAGAAACGTATAAAACAGACGGCCAAGATGAACATCGAATCACATTTATTCGGCTGCACAACACAATTCTGGTTGTAGTTTGCCACGTACTTGCATACAGGACATCGCCACGTTCCTCTCTCACAGTTCAGCTGCAGATACGACTCCAAGTCAAAGCACTGCAGCAGAAAATGACCTCAAATGTTAATAAAACTTAATGCAAAGTAACAGATATAGAAATCAGACATAAAAATATTTTATATAAATTAAAATCATATTAAACGCACATAAACTGTTAACTTTAATGTTTAGAATAATAAATACAGGTCAACTAAAGCAGGGGTTCCCAAACTTTTCAGCCTTTGACCCCCAAAATAACAATACCAGTGACTTGCGACCACCAATATCCTCTGAGGTGGTTATACTGTAAGTATAGAAACCTTGTATGCAATGGTGCACACACACCAATAGGCCCAAGTCTATTCTTTGTTTAATTTTTTATGTATGTGAGTGCTGTAAATGTGCCAAAAAGTTTAACCTGGTGCCAAAAAATCAATCTGCTTCATCTGACACTATTTCTGCATCTTTAATATTATATAATCACCCCAAGGGTCACAAGCCAATAGAAAAAAAAGAAAGTAGAATCATTATTAATTAATTTAATTAATTAGATTTTTTTGGAATCATCAAGCGACCCCCCCTTCATTGTTCTATGACCCCCACTTTGGGAACCACTGAACTAGTTCCAACATAATTTGCCATAATAAACATACAGTATATAGGCGAAAATTAAACTATAGAAATATAAAAAAGAATATAGAATCATATAAACAGGTAAATGCAATTAAATTATTTAAAAACAAACTAACACATTACAATCTAATACACCATGGTCATATAGGATTTGGTAATTATTACAATCTTAAACCACACAAATTTTTAATCAATCTTTCACATATAAAAGTTCATATTTGTTTATATTCTTATGTGATTAATATTATTTGATTAATATACTAATATTTAAACATTTGAATTCTGTCATCCTTTACTCATCTTTTACTTGTTCCTATACCCAGTTTCAAGAGGTTACACTAAGCTGATGATTGTTTATAAAGCATGTGTTTGCCATGCTGTCCCAAGAGAGAGCCATGAGCTCATAAGGTCCTCGAGCTCATGGCTTCCTGCTGTTTGCAGGACGAGAGGGGAGTTTGAGCTCAGGTAGCTCTCGAGAACTCCCCTGCTCACTTATGTTGCATGTCTTTGGATTGTGGGAGGAAACAGAACCTGGGGGAAACCCATGCAAGCGCAGGGAGAACATGTAAACTCCACACAGAACTGGCATCAATTGGCCGGTTAGGTACTTGAACCAGTGACATTCTTGCTTTGAGGCAACAGTACTATCCACTGGGCTGCCGTGCCACCCAATTAAGGAAAAAGGAGGAAGAGGGGTGGATTCTTTAAGACAAAATGTGCATCCCAAATCGCATACTTATGCACTATTGTACACCATTTTGTAGTATAAAGATTGTAAGTAGTGCGTCCACAGTGAAAACTCTAAAAATAATAAGTGTACTTTTATTACCTGGATGATGCACTCATTCAACAGGTAAAATGAAGTGTGTAATGATGGACACTTCACGCACTCAACGACTGCAGTTTTGCTCACGTAGCGGAAGGGGCGGAGCTATTGGGCGCACATGTTGTATAACTTTATTTATCTTGGATTGAGAAAGCAAAATTCTCCTACGAGAGTGACTATAGCCCCTCCCGATGGTGAATGCGGTTCTACTCATTGCAGGTATTACTTGATAGTTTTGTCATTTATTTCACTGATTTGGCAACCGGCAAATGTCATCAGGGTAACGGTTTAAGTTTCCGCTTAGTAAAAAAACATTAGTGCTCCATTTGGGACGACACTATGTACTATGCTGTTGAGTGTGTAAGTGTATAAGTACATAGTGCATGAGTGCATAGTGTATGGTTAGGGACACAGCTAAAGATGACTGAGCTAAGAAACTCTAGTTATTTATAGTGAGCTAAAAGTAATCTGATTGGTGAATCATGTGTTAGCTAATGCGGGACCAGCTGTGGTCAATCATAAGCATGTGATCCTCTGAAATAAGTTTATAAATAAACTTCCCTTATTTTTTTCAGTGATTGAACACGGAGGATGTTTTGAAGTAAAAAACTGTAACAAATGACCTCCATACTATTTGTTTATCTTATAATTGACTTTAATGGTTACAGGGTTTCAGCTTTCTTCAAAATATCTTCCTTTGTGTTCAACAGAAGAAAGAAACACAGAAAAAAAAAGTTTGTAACCACTTGAGGGTGAGCAAAAAGTAAGTACATTTTCATTTTTTGCATAAATATGACAAAAAAAGATTGGACAACTTTTAATAACTTATTAATAAATTCTATAATAATCTTTTTTAACCTTCATATGAGCATATACCGTCATAAGTCAAATAACTGAAAACATACAAATATGCCTTTGAATGATCCAAAAAAGCCTAAACTAAAAATCAAGTTTTCATATTTTCGTTCCATATTTTAGTTTCTAAAAGATTAGGCTTACAAAAAAAAATAATCTCAATGTATCATTTTCACAGAAAATCTACCCTCAGATTTCCCCCAATTTTAGATGAGCTTCAGCAATGCATACCTGCACATGTTTACAGTCGTGTCCCCTGGCAGGAAGCTGGATCCGTCGGAATGTGATTGGACACTTGAGGGACACTTTGATGGCTGTCTGCTCTACTCCATCCTCTCCATTAAGCGTGGCGTTCCCAGTGGACGCTGCTACACTACTGAAGTTTCTTTTAACTGCAGCAAAACAGACAGCAGACATTGTAAAGATTAGAGGTTGATGAAGAAGATAATGCAGAGTGACAGACATCAGCGGCTCCCAAAGAACACAGCGTCTACTTACTTTTAGTAATGCAGTGTTCAGCGGGAAGAAGCCTCTTCTTCAGGAGCCCCTGCAGGACTGATCTGACCGACGGCCTGTGCACCAGCTGAAGCACGAACAAGTGTGACTGCAACAAGACCACCATCGTCAAACAACAGGTCTTCACCACAGAATATCCATCACATGATACACTATCTGCGCCGTTCGGCTTTCAGACAGGGGAAGCATAAAACTGATACCAGCAAATGTAGAACAGAACAGAAGCCGCTTCAAATCAGCGTTATCTGATTTGGTATCACACACTGTATAACAGCTCTCTGACACGGCTGTTAAATGGCAGACTATACATTATTGAATACTCACACAACAACAGGCTGTGACGGTGATCTGGATGGTGTTTCTCCCAGGTTGACAAACGTGCTTTAGGTGCAGGGGTTTGTGCGATGTTTTATTGTCGCCCCTCTCGATGGTGAGTGGTGTGGCGTTCACGCTGACTTGGACGGATGCGGGCCAGTTGGTGTTCATTTGTCGGTCCTCGTGATGATAGCATTTAAACTGCAGCTCCAGATCAGATCTGTAGGATATGGGGAAAATTTTATTTAATGTTCATTCATTGAGTATGTTTACATGGACACCAATAATCCAATTTTAAAGCGATTAAGACAATACTCTGATAAGGAGTCTACCATGTAAACAGCATTTTTTGATTAATTTATTCTGATTAAGGTCATAATTGATTTAAAAAGAAATCAGATGAAGACATGTGGAGTTTGCGGACTTTAGTCGTATTATTGAAGTGCAGCACAGACATGTAAATGCAGCTATCAAACTATTACCATTATGTAGGACTTTTCGGCGCGCTTTGTGACAGGATATTTCAAACACTGTTGACACTATTCTCTGCAGTGAAGGACTCGAGACACCTATATAGCAAAATGCTGCGTTTTTTGCCCATACGGCGTGTGGTATCATATTCCATCAAATCAACTTTCTTCCTGCAGTTCATACTCTCATTCAATATCTCGTTTGTCACTGGAGACATGCATGAAATGTTCCAGATTGAAAGTGAAAGTGCCAAACTACAGTTGAAGATGACAAATTAAAAATGAAACGCTCAAAATTACATGAAATGTAGTTAGTAGTCTATGATGTTGTGACTTTCTTCAGTGAAACACAAAGTTGTATGTTTTGTTGTTGTTTTTTGCAATGTTTGCACTACAATATTGCATTTATTTAAAGTAAACAGAGACTAAAGTATTAAGATAGTGTATATAAAATTTAAGGTAACACTTTATTTTGATGGTCCATTTGAGTATTAGTAGACTGTATGCTTAATATCTGCTGATATTGCTTCTTCAACAGACATTTAACTAACTAATAAGAAACTTTGCAAGTACATGTCAACTTACACTAAACCTAACCCCAACCTAACAGTCTACTAATAATCTAATAAGGATTAGTTGGCATGCAGATGCAATGCAACTTCAATTCAACAAACAGACCATCAAAATAAAGTCACCAAATTTATTAACATGTTACAGAAAATTATTTAAAAGTATGTTATTTAAGTTCAGATGCAAAAACCTTTAGGTGTCATCTGACATTTTCTTCTAAAATGATATTTTTTCTCAGGCTTCTGTGTGTAGGTTCAGTCATTTCATTTTTATGAAAAAGAATGATGTTTTTTCATTGCCTTTAAAGTGAAATAACTGAGCATAAACACAGGAGGCTGAGGAAAATGCTAATTTTGGAATAAAAATTCAAATGGCACTTAAAAGGTTTATGCATCTGAACTCAAATATGTTTATTCAGTAAAAATGTAATAAGCTGGTCAAAACAGACAGTAAAACATTTTTTAAAAAAGTATTAGAAATTAACTCTGTTGTTTAAATTGTCTAATTCTTTATAAAAATATGAGCATGAGTATGGTCATCCATAAATTCACAAGTGTGGGCAAAAGAACAACAAAAGAAACTGAAGTCTTTATTGTCAAAAAAAATCAGTGTGATGTGCTATATGTACCATGCTACATGCTATGTACAGCTGAAGTCGAAATTATTAGCCCTCGTGAATTTTTTTCTTCACAAATTGTTAAACAGAGCAAGCAAGCAATTACTATAATATTTTTTCTTCTGGAGAAAGTCTTGTTTGTTTTATTTTGGCTAGAATAAAATCAGTTTTTCATTTTTTAAAAAACATTTTAAGGTCAGAATTATTAGCCCCCTACAATGACTTACCAAATTACCCTAACTTGTCCAATTAACTCAGTTAAGCGTTTAAATTGCACTGTAAGCTGAATACTAGCATCTTGAAAACTATTTAGTAAAATATTATGTACTGTCATCATGGCAAAGATAAAAGAAATCCATTATTAGAAATGAGTTTAGAACTATTATGTTTAGAAATGTGTTGAAAACATCTTCTTTCCGTTTAACAGAAATTGGGGAAAATATACAGGAGGCTAACAATTCAGGAGGGCTAATAATTCTGACTTTACTGTACATATTCAAATATAGTCGATAAAATCTTTTAACATGTAAACACTGCATACCTCCACATGAGCGTCTGGTGGACGGAGGGCCGCAGATGGAAGACATGGTTACTGACGGCCAGGTTGTGCTCTAATCTGAAAGGCTCCAGCACCACTCCATCCCTCACGGGGAAAGTCAGTCGAAGCTCCTCATTGGGATTGTCTACAGAAACAAATATTGAGATTAGATGAATTCCTAATCTTCTCATGTAGACTACAGTATCAATGTGCAGGAGGCTTTCAAGTTTGGCTCTCACTTCACCTAGTTTCACCCTTTCCCACCGAAGCACATATATTATGAATGAGCTCTGAGTGGATGTGAAAAATGCATGAATCACAGATAAATGTGCAATGGGACTTTTCTCCCCCTCTCAGCTGCAGGTGGCGGATCAAAGGGGGTTTCGCTGGTTTATTCTGATAGACTGTGACCGGGCTTGTAATACGGACAGAGTGGAGATCAATGCAATGAAACGGTTACAGTGTCGATCCTTTTGAGGGACTCACTTGGAGGCGGAGGCAGAGACGTCATGTTTGGCTTCATGTCTGGAGGAAACGGGGGCTTGACGTCCTGACTGGGTGACAGGTATGGAGGGATACTACTTCCTGGGGTCATGGGCGGTGTGGGGTTTCCAGGAACGGGCGAGTGTGGGTAGTTCACCACCTGCCGAGGAGGCTTCAGACAAAGAGACACACCATTACTAAATACAACTGCTACGTATTTTCTGAACTTGAACATACTGTATTATTACCAATGGAAAATAAGCATACTGAGCAAATAATGTTTTCACCACCTACCCCATTTCCTTGACTATAGCCATAACCACCTCCAGAGAAATTGTTGTTCTGACCATTAAACGGCTCTTGCTGAAATTGAAATGAGCAGAGAGAATGTAAACAAGATTCCAAGATAGTTGCTAATGACAGTACAAGTACATTCAGTGGTGGTTCTAGTTTAAATATCAAACATCCCCCTTCACCCATCCCCCAAGAAATAAAGACACTATGTGGTTGATTTTATATATATTTAATATATTTAAATATATATTTTAAACATATACATTTAAAATAACTATTATACATTCATTTAAATAGATTTATTTATTTTCACTAAATATGACAATTTGTTTATTATTATTGTTATTAATATTATTATTATTTAACTATTATTCTAAAAAAATAACAAAAATCTATCTTAAATGTAACTGAAAAACAATGTAAAGACACAATTGAAATAATATTCCAAGACTTTTGCATGAAAATTAATTATGACAGTTCTATAGAATACAAAAAAAAAAAAATTTTTTTCAAGAGTTCACACTTAGCTGATGATTGATTATAAAGCTTGTGTGGCATGTTGTCCTGGTAGAGAGTCCTGAGCTCATAAGATTTTTGAGCCTGGGGCTCCCTACCGTTTGCAAGGCAAGAGAGGAGATTGAGCTCAGGTAGATCTCGAGAACTCCCTTAGTTAATTAGCTTAAGTTGCATGTGTTGGACGGTGGGAGGAAACTGGGGAACCAGGGGGAAACTCATGTGAGCACAGGGAGAACGTGTAAACACCACACAGAAATGTCGATTGGCCTGGTAAGAACTAGAACCAACAACGTTCCTGCTGTGAGGCAACAATGTTAACCATTGGGCCTCTGTGCCACCTATCTAGGAAAGAAGGAGGAGTAGGGGTAGAAGGGGGGATTTTTCAAAACGAAGATGGCTGTTATATGGAACTTAAGCTATTTATAGTGGCTTAGCAAATGTCTAATTGGTGAATGTTGAATTGGATATTGCGAGACCAGCTGCAAGCAATCCTCTTGAAATTAGTTTATAAATAAACCTAAATTATAGAATTATCTGTTGTCTTACATCCGATACATGGCAGGGAATTAATGTTATAAAGTCTTCCTCCCTCAATTATTCAACTCATTATTTCTCCTTTCTGCTTCATAGCCATGCAAAGTCAAAGTAACATCATTATCATCATCATCATCATATTATATAAACTTTAGTTTTGACGACTTGCACACCGATATGCGTCAACATGCATGTAAACAAGCGCGATCAGGATCAGCGCAAGTGAGGCACGGGTGAATGGCTTTCTGAGCACGTCAATTTGTTTTCACCAGCGTTGTTTCTGTTGCAAATAAAAAATAACAAATTTGAGAGGTGAATTGAATTGTGAATGGCCTGTAATGCCTTTATTCTTGGATAACCACTCAATACACTTGCATAAAGTAAATCTTATCTCAAAGCTTTTACAGAGGCACTTTTTCTTTTGGTTCCCCTATGCCGCCCCCAGCAAGATGTCGCCCTGGCTGATTGCCAATATTGCCTATGCCTAAATCCACAACTGTTACATTTGAAAAGCCAAGCAAACTACAGGAATGAAACCGTTTGTATACCATGCCAGCTTCGAGAATCAGATTTAGTTTGCTTAAAATTCTACTTTTTATTACAAATCACTTTGGAGGCTACTAAAATCCAATCAACAATCATAGGACAGAACCAAGTATACACAATACATTATTTAAAAAAAAAAAAAAAAGATCCATAACAATTTGTTGTACATCAGAATAAAAAAATGTGTCTCTTTTCCCCATGGCTTTAAACAAAATGTGGCCTTTTAAATTTAAAAACCAAGCAAAGTCAATTTACCTTATAATACTGGCCCATGGGTACCCCTGTTGGGGGGTATTGACCAGTGCTCTGTTGTCCTGGCATCCTCTGCCCAGGGTAATTGGGTGAAGGAAGTGGTCTTGAAGCGTTTGGGTTAGGGTACTGCCCTTGCTGGTTGGGAAACTGGCCATTGGGTCCAAACTGCTGGCCTCCATAGTTAGGCTGTGAAACAACAATTGTTTTATCAACTCAATTAGCCTATAGGAAAATGCCCACTGAAAGTCTAATTGAACCAGTGGTGATCTTACCTCTCCTGGATAGGGCCTTTTAGTGCCCTGCATGGGCATGGACTGAGGTCTGGGTCCAGGGTAACCCTGTTGAGGCATCCTTTGGCCATGGCCACCAAAGGGCCCCATGCCTGGGCCTCTGGGCTGGTTCATACCCATCGGTGGGCCGCTCATGTTGGAGCTATTCATTCCACCACCCATAGCAGCTGGGTTCATGCCTCCTGCCATGGATGGGGGTCCGCGAGGCCCTGGCTGGTTCATAAACTGGCTGTTGTAGCCTTGCGTAGGCCCCATCTGGAATGAGGAGCAAACCTGTGGAAAAGGCCAATGGCAAGTCAAATGAATAAGTGGACTCATTTAGAAATCCAGGATAGGGTAAGATGCCAAAACTAGAGAGACACCAACCTGGTTGTACTGGTTCATGTCTTTATTGGTCTCTTGCAGAGCCGCCACAGTGGCTGTAGCAGTGGCTGTTGCTGTAGCGGCGGCGGCAGCGACTGCAGCAGCGGCGGCGGCGGCAGCAGGTTGGGTAAAATCAGAAGGCGGTCGTGTATGCGGGGGCATGCCCATACCACTCGGTGCATTGGGCCCGCCAGGATAACTGAGGAGAAGCAATATAACACATAAATGTCTATATCTTAACTGACAGAGACAGAAATGTCTGCTTATTGGAACAGCACAGAAATCTTTCCTGGATTAGCACTTGGCACAGCCAGAAGGTGATATCATCCCTTTCGAGAAAAACATCCTTGAACTGAGTGTTGGCTTGGCTTTAAAACCTTGTGTCAAGTATCACTAATGGGAGACTCTTCTATAGCTTATTGAATCTCCCAGAGTGATGCAAAGCAACTTTGTCAAACAACTTCCCATCATTCAAGCTTGAAACTTCTTGAAACATTACCTTCCCGCAAAGCCGCCTCCTCCCGGGTGACCTGGACGCCCATACATGCTTTGCTGCATGTAGGCCTGGTTGGATCCCCCTTTAGTTGAAAACTGTTGTTGTTGGCCAGGGAACTGAGGTGAGTTAATCCCTGGGTTGTTGGCTGACATACCCGACCCTAGTGCGTTGCCTCCAGGGTTCATGGGATTGTTGGTATTGGCCATGGGGTTACCCAATACCTAGATCAAAAGCAACATCTGTTGTAAGATCAATGTTATCAGCGTCGCTGTTTTGATTCAGTAACACTGTAAGTCTGACTCACCTGACTTTGTGACGTATTAGTAACTCCCCAAACCGTTGTAACCACTGACAATGATCCTGGGGCCTGGTTGGCGTTTTGTTGCCAGGGAACGCTGTCATATGGAAAGGACCCATCACTACAAAACAGCATTCAAGCAGTCATGTGAGATCAGTTGCATCAAACATGAATTGGGAAAGAGAAAAGCTGGTTTCAACACTCCCCAACAGAGAAAGTGCTCCCTTTTGACTGCAGGACATTTGTTTTTCCATGACAATTAAGTTGTAATGTTTGTTTAGGAGGCCAATCGCCAGCCCTGAAGCACAAAATGTTCTGTAAAAAAAATCACTAAGCGAGTGAATCTCCTTAACCTCACTCCTATCTCTAGCACAGTAATGTTTTCTCTGGCTATGCATTATAGAATACCAACTTTCAATTGACGTATTTGAGAGTAATGTTACATTATCAAGTTTTTATCTGCCCTTGTTTGAAATGTTTTGAGAATAAATGATATCTGCAGTGATGTCGTCATGTTTACAGAGCTGTTAATGAAATGGCTTCTTGGGAAAGCCTAGCAATCGTGATCACATGGCACATAAAAACAAACAACTCTGTGCTGGTTGAGTGCACTAGGACTTCATTTTAAGAGGACATTCTGAGAACGCAGGAAGGGGCAAGACTTCTGTGAGTTTTAACAGTGCTGGAATGGTACCGTGAGCAACAGGGTAAGGGTAGGGTGGAGTTTTGTCTGGGTACTGACCCATGTGAGAGCGAGGGCTTCATGGAGTTCATGGGTGGCTGCAAGGGTACTTTGCCCTGGGGATCGCTCTGACGATTCTTCTGATGCCGCAACAAAAGCAGTCGTCCCAGCTCCTCGCACCAGGACGATAGGAGAGCTAGAGGAAGAAACAAACAGAGAGAACGGCAGATCAGCAAAGATCTTTGGCAAGGACACCATGCACATTTTAGCTTAACAGCAATCTTTCTCATTTTAGCTATTTAGCAGAAGTAAAACTCACTGACATGATGGGAAAGGTTGTTTCTAAACTGTTCTGATTTTTGTTGTCCACTGTGCTATTATGCAGCTGGAAGGCTATTCTATAGGTCTATCCTTTAATCTAAGAGACTGTTTACACGACCAAGTTTTTAGCAAAATATTCGAAACTTTTTATAGATTTTACCTGTTCATTTACATGACAATGATGTTATAGAGACTCAAAATGGGTCTCAAAAAAGACTTTTTTTTTGTTTTGAAAATGGCACCGTTGTGTCAGTGTAAACACCTGAAAATTAGAGTTTTTAAAAATGATAACAATGCGTGTGCATGGTTAATGTTTAGGTGTAGATCAAAGGCAAGCGAAAACAAAAAATAACGCTGGAATATGTGCTAGTGTTGTTGCTAAAGTGTTTGACTTTGGCAATACAAAGTATGGATTTACTTCACATTACAGCCGACAGCAGAGACACATCTAGCAAATATGGCAAATTCTACCTCACCCCCAACTGCACATCATTACCTACCTACAGGTACTGTTTACTAAGGAGACCGTGCCAAATACTGGCCTTTCCTATGTTATACAGAAGTTTTATTTGCTTTCACAATTATGTAAAGATATCGTTTTCAAAATGTTGTCATGTAAACGTGAAACAGGGGAAAAACTTTCCTGTTTTGGCTATAGAATTGCCGTGTAAACGAAGCATAAATCTATGGAATGTGGCATCTGTTTTAGTGTAAATCATAAAACTGATAGCTTTGCACAATCTCTTGCTTAAGTATAACAATTTGAGTTATCACTTATGTTTAAATGTTGGTATTTCTTAGGGTTAGCAGCTTGTTCAAATCTCTAACCCTCAATAAGCTGGAGGTTTGTCCCACTTTTGAAGTGTCTGGAGTTTAGCTCTAACCAGCACGGACGTTTCTACTTAGTCTAAAGATTTTGCCTGATCTGATTCACATGTGTTTAAATAGTATTACTTCACAATTGTGGCAATCCATAAACAGCTCACCCCTAATATAAACAATGGTGAGAAAGATGTCAAAAATATTGCAATGTTTTAATCAGTTCATATCTTCGCCACTAGAGGTCACTACTATTACAGTAGAAATGCACGAGTGCCTGGGATCGTCTTTAACAGCCTGTCATTATGCTTCTCATAGGATCATATGCTTTTGGTCTGCAGTGCACTTTGAGCAGCGATCCTACCACAGAAGAGCTGTCTTCCCCTGTCGTGAAGGCAGAATGACGAAGACGGGGAGAGAAAGAGCAAGAAATGGAAGATGAAAATCAGTGCTGAGGACAGTGAGTCATGCCGGGGATGTGTCCTGGCAGCACTTTACTCCTGTGAGGGGTGACAAAATGAGCCTCTCGCCATGGTGATGGAGTCGTTTCGGGATGGCAGCAGTTGGCACATAGCCAGATCCTGGTCTAATCGATTCTACACGCCGCATATGGCTGAAGTAGCGCTGCATTTAAGTGCTCTTCATACAAATGCCCCTCACACTTTGCAACTGACACTATTTAGATAGTCATTACTAGCTGAGTCATTGATGGCAAGAGTAAAATTTAGATTCACAATAATTAATTATCAAATAACTGTTGTGTGTTTTATAGACTAGCATTTTTGTAAGAAAATTTGATAGATTTTGTCATTGTAAATGGTCACTGTCATATTTTTTGACATGTATTAACCGTAACAAGCCATTTAATTAAAACAATGTAATGAAATTAAAATGAACAAAATAACTTTTTTAGGTTCCAAAAAATAATACTTAAAACCAGGTTATCCTGTCATGATATTCTTTTCTTTTAATACACTTTAATTTTATGCTAACAAGGTTCTTATATTTAACATCTTGTATTGACCTATTGCTAAAAACAAGGGGGAAATGAATTATGATAATAAAAGGCAAACACCCTGAGAACTATTTATTTTCTCTGAAAAGTTTTTATTTTAAATTTATAATATGTCAAATTGTAAAGTGGCATAATGTAATTATTAGCATTTAAATACATTTTTCTCTAATCAAATAATAAAATTCCTATATAAATATGCCTTGAAAAATTATATTACCATGTAATATAACATATTATACATGCTCCTGACAGCAATAAATAAAGCATGCTCCAGACTGCATACAGAAGACAAACAAAAGCCAGGGACTGTTTCAGTAGTGCTGCACCTCTAGTCTTACTTTGCCATCAAACAGATTCTGCAAGGGACCTTATAAAATATTCCCTTTCCCCTAAGACGCGTTCATACATAGAACAATGCCCCTCTTTCTTCTCTAAATCTACTTCACAGACAGTAGATGAGAAAAAAAATAACCTGCTCTGGCTATTTGAACAGAGAGGGTGGTGTCATGAGTCTCTCGGTTTCTCTCTCTTTCTGAGTCTGCTGCTGCAGAGAGACAGACGTCTGTCTTGGCTCTTTCCTCTCTAAATCGATCAGCCAGTAATGACTATGAAGACTGCTCAGCTGTCTCCAGCGCCTTTATTGCTGGGGGAATGTAAACGAGCACACACACACTCTCTTAACGAACACACACACTTCCACATGTGTACACACACGCACACACACTGAGGTGTTTTTACCACAGACTGCACTTCAGGGACAGCTCACACATGCATGTCTTTATTTATTCCATGAAAAAAGTAAAGTGAAATTGGTTTCCACACCTATTTTGTTTTTCAGTTTACATATTCAAACTACACAAAAGAGATTAGCGACTTGAGTTGGAGAGGAAAAATGACAGTATTCTTTGTCAGTTCCTCACATACAGTAAAGTTGCTGTAAGGACTCTGTAATTTGAAGGGGTAATGAACTGACAAATTAAAATTCCCTTGATCATTTGGCATATAGTAAGTGGGCATTGTACTAAAAGAATATTCTGTAAGTTTAAGAACTTTAACCATCTTGTTTTTAGTTATTATTTAGTTATGTATCTAAACCCCGCCTCCACAGATGGTCATCAATGCCTACTACCTGTTTAGCTCCGCCCTCTGATTTGAGGTAAATAATAAGAGAGGCAAACAAACAACAAGATGCAGCCTTCGCATTTCTTTCCTTCTGATCCCAACATTAGGAATGAGTGGATGATTTTTGTTAAAATGAAAACAGTTGCATTAAGAGCTTTGACCTTTGTTAACTTTATTTTACTGCAACATACTTCACTAAACTACAAAATACAAAGGATTTTCAGACAAACTAAAAAGACGATGATTTGCTGAATATGTTAGATCCAACAGAAAAGTCATACAGAACAGTCGATAGTCTACAGAACAAACCATCGTTATACGACTTGCCTAATTACTTTAACCTGCCTAGTTTACCTAATTAAACTAGTTAAGCCTTAAAATATCACTTTAAGCTAAATAGAAGTGTCTTGAAAATATATAGAACAATATTATTTACAGTCATCATGGCAAAGAAAAAATATCAGTTATTAGAAATGTGTTATTAAAACTATTATGTTTAGAAATGTGTTAGAAAAAAATATCTTCTCTACGTTAAACAGAAATTGGGGGAAAAAAAGGGGAAAAATTAAATAGGGGAGGGTAATAATTCTGACTTTAAATGTACATGCTGTTAAAGTTTACATTGGTGGCATCTTAAGGTTGAAGTGTTAAAATGTTTAAATATGATAAATGATTGCAAATCATACTAGTGGACACTTACAATGTTGTTAAAAGGAGGGGAGTCAAAAAAGTACAGCAAATAGCCTATTTAAAAAAATGTAAACATCTTGATAACATTTTAAAGATACCACAAACAACAGTAATAAAAGAAAAAGGCATCACTAGTAGGGCAGCACAATATGTCGTTTTAGGATCGATATCGCAATGTGGGCATCCGCAATGGTCACATCGCAAAGACATGCAATGTTAAGTCTGAATTATTGTTGACCAGGAACCACAGAATTGTATTTAATCACTGTATTTATATGAAATTTAAGCAACAACAACAACTTTTCTTATAGATTTGTCCTGTTTATAGTCCAAATATCCACATTTCAAAGCTTAAAACAAGCTTATTTTACTTACTCAGCTGGCAGATCATTTTGCTTGTTTTAAGGAAAAACTCTTTATTTTCACTTATTTCTTTTGATGGAAAAACAAACAATATTTTTCCTTTTTTAATATATTTTACTCTTCATGTTTAAGATTGTTTTTTGATATTTGGACTAGAAACGAGACAAAGTAAAAAAAAAAAAAAACTTTTTTTTTTGTTGTGATTATTCAATCTCTGTCCCCGGATGCTGCCAGACTCTCCAAAATAGTCAAATCATGTTATTTATTCTATCTTGTGAAACTGTATTCATAACACAATATTTAAAGCAGAAAAATAAAATATCGCTATATCAGATTTTTCCAATATTGTGCAGTCCTAATCACTAGTCACAAATCCTTTTCTATGGCCTCATGGGATAGCACAATTCAGAATCTCATTAGAAGTCATCTTTACAGTTTAATGAATGCTATGAATTTGGACTCTATTCGCCTACTATCTAGTACGCTAGGAGGCATATGCGGATGCAGGGAAAGTCAGATGTGGATCAACATGCGGATTGATGTAATGGAGCAAATGAGCAGTTTTTCAATTGTATTCATGTGACATTAGCCATTTAATGCCGGCATTAATAACCATTTCAGAATTAAATTCAAGGACCCTTAATGCATTGCTGAATCCAAACTGGATTTCTTCCAAGAAACGGCTTTAAGTTATTCAATATCCCAGCGGCACCTGACGCACTTTCCTTTCCAAGTTCAAACACACAATTACAGTGAGAAAATGGCGTTTGTGTAAATATATCAAAGGGCTCTGTTTCAAAGAGAACGCTTCTCACCTCTCTGCGACAAGCGTGAAAGCCGTCCCAGCAGGACTGGAGCGGGAGGCT